TTTCAACATCATCATCACCATTAACAAATTATCCAAAGAATATGACAATACCAAACTATCTATACATAACAGTTTTTCGTTTACCAAATTACGCAAATTCATCAAAAGATGTATTAGATGAAACTTCACATTCAAGTATTCTACTCTTTTTACTCTCATGTTTATCATCAATAACATGTCACCCATATCGTAAACAAAAAGATTTAATATCAACATCATTATCTATTCCATTAGCAACAATAGCAACAATAAATAATACAACAATAGTTGATGATAATGAGGATGAATATTATGAAGATGATATTGAACAAATAGAATCAACAACAACAGTACAACAATTAAATGCAATTAATAAGAATAAGAATATTACAAATTCTAATTTTTCCGTGATAAAGATACAAGTTTTGGTACAGGTTCAACACATTTACAATAGAAACCTGATGAAATAATTCAAATACAAAAATTACAGGGAGAATACGTTATTTATTTATTTGACAGATTTTATTTAATATTTCCAAATAAACTATCTGAAGAATATTTGATGATGATTTAATTGAAATAATAAATACATCATGTTGTATACTAGTAATTGAATTATATTCACGTAATGATTCTATATTAGGTAACGGGTGGGCCGAAAGTTTTGGGACAAAATGTTTCTTCATTTTTCGACCGATTAAGTATGTCAGCAGAAACATTAGAACAATGGATTAGAATCAGAATTTTGTGCTCTTTCAGAATCTATGCTCAGAATTTTTGTAGAGCTCATAACTTAGGAGTTATGAACGAATCTTTGGTAGGCCAAAAAATAAAGTTTGGACGAAAGCAGTTATACTAACAGATCCAGAGAAGAAAAATGTAATCGTATGTCTTTTGAAATTGATTTCCTGCTATTGTTCAGCAACGTTTCTCGGCACTTTCTTATTTTCGTCCTAACGATGTCCAATTTAACTTAGCCCAAGTTCCTTTGGGTTGATTGTATCGTGTTTTCAAACTTTTTGAATCAGGACCTTGACAGTATACGTCCATCTCAACAATAATACTCCTTTATTGAATATCTTCTATGACCGATTTTTTGCACAATATCAAGGGCGAGTCTGTTCTCTACAAAGTGAGCTAAGAACCAAGAGTCTTGCAGCATCCCTTCCGAGATGATCAACCTCTGTTTGACAGTCTGAATACTAAGGAGTTTCGAAAACGTCTCTGTACCTCTTACTAAAACTCTCATTACTCAAAAAAGCTTCATTGGAAATTAATGATCAGACTATCGTTTTGTAGAGAAATGTTTGTTCTTTCTTTGGATGTATTCGAAATAAATTTTACGCCTGTTTTGGATGTTTTTTTTGCACACTGAAAGCTGTCCAAACTTTATTTTTAGGCCTTCCAAAGATTCCCTCATAACTCCTAAATTATGAGTCCTACAAAAATTCTGAGCATAGATTCTGAAAGAACACAAAATTTTGATTCTAATTCATTGTTCTAATGTTTCTGCTGACATACTTAATCGGTCGAAAAATGAAGAAATATTTTGTCCCAAAACTTTCGGCCCACCCGTTATTTTACAGATTTGTTCTTGAAATTTTGATAAAATACGACTCCAAGAAAGATTGTATTTTCAAGTTCCATGCTATTTCTTATGGAAAAGGGTTAGTTTTAAGACGAATGCCAAACTCAATAACTTTCCATGTATATCCTGTCTCTATCGGATGCATTTCATTCATTCGTGAGGCATTAATGACTTCATGGAAAATCAAAATCGACTTTCACTTCATGCATTTCAGTTTTAAAAGACTCCGGATCGAAATTTTAGGGGAATTTTTTTCTGAGAATTTCTAGATTTTTCAAAAGAATCGATTTATTTTTCGTTAGTGATGTGACCTCGTACGTATATATATTGTTTTAGAAGAAGGTTTTTAGAGGTCGATCTTACTCAAAATTTTACAATAGATACGTTTCGTGCAATAGAGTCAATTCTAAAATTTTCTAATTTTTTTTTGTCTGGTTAGAGATATATTTGCTGACTACCCATTTTAATGGGCTGATTAATTTCAATCAATAGTTGACCACAGATATTTAAACATTCATTTTATTTTTCAGCATCAAGATATGAATAAAAAACAACATAAAGAAAAACGAAAAGGAATCACAACTTCCTTTGGTCAATGTCCATTAACATTTGATGGTGCATATGGTCTTACTAAAGCAAAATATTCTATTGAATTTTGTCAACATAGAAAAAAACCATCGAATCGGATTATATCGCCATTTCATGGAAAAGCATAGATTAAAACAATTTTATGCTCGACATTTGGCATGAGCTGTTATCAATAATCAAGATCCTAGGATAACAAAATTATTTGATGAAAATGACGATATAATTGATCATTTATATAGAGTTCTATGTCCAGTTACTAATGGACGAATTAATTTACCAGGATGTGATATACCAATTGAATCAAATGTATGATGTCGACATCATAAAATTCCATTTAGCGCATTAAAATCTCATTTTCGACATTATCATCATGTTTCTGATGCATTCGCACAAGATTTAGTGGATTGTTTCGAAGAAATTCAAAATAAAAATAATACTACTTCGGCCTAATTAACTCAATCAACACAATTATGAGAAATGGAAATCTGGACACTGTTTCTTTTGATATCTCTCTTATTTGTTACAAATTCTACATCTGTGAAAAAATAAATAAAATTAAATAGTTTGATACAAATATTTAAATCATTCTTTGTTATGAATATTGGATTAGGTGTCCATAGTTCAAGTTAGTGAGCTCATAGAAAATGAATTAACGAGAAAACTATCTCAGCGTCTCAGACTGTTCAACTTCATAGTATGCCTCCGAACACATCTCAGTCAGATCAAGACAGAGTTAAAAATTTCTATAGGCAAGAGAATTCTGAAAAGTTAAAAACAAAGATTTTTTTGTCTGAAGGGTGTGGATGTGGATGAGGTGTGAGTGTGAATGGGTGTGTGAGTCTTCTCTTCATCCTCACCCACACCCCTATCTAGTAGATATAATGTTAAGATGCCACCTGATGAAGTCCCGCCATGGACAGAAACAACCGTTGTCGTCGTTCGGCGAACTGTCTAATTAATACTGTATGAGTCACACGATAATTAATGTTTGTTTACTATTGTATTCAAGTTTTCTAATTTTAGCGATTCCAAATAATTGGTCGAGCTTCTATGGTTTATTTTGAATTATTTTAAAATATTTGCATATAGCAAGTTTTCCTTTTTGAACCGTTCTTATTTAGTGACTATTAGAATTTTATGAATTTTATTCATCTCCTTATAATTAATCGATTGATGTTCGTTGCTATGGAACATACAATCAAGAAACAAATTCTATGTCTGTTTGTTTTTAATTACACAAATTATTTTTTTTTTTCATGTGAATCTCTTACAAAAAAAAATGAGCATTCCCAATTCTAAACTACAATGTTACATTGATAAAACTTTTTCACAATAAGTCTATCGAATAGATAATCAACAATACATCTATAGTCCAATTATTATTCAATCAATCGAAAAACAGATCGGCTGCTATTCTAAATAGCATAAATCATTCAATTTCAAGTTTTTAACAACGAATTTGCTAACACTAAACATTTAACCAATCATTCGATCGTCCCATATCACGAGCATGAAAAAAAAAAATTTATAAAAACAAACAGCTCAAACACTCTTGATTTCGTTTCAACCAATGATTCACTGTTCCCATGTCCCGCAGCTCGAAAAAATTCTATTCTATAGAAACAAATAGCTCAAGTACTCTCGATTTCGTTTCAACTAATAATTCAATGCCCTTATGTCCTGCAGCTCGAAAAAAAATCTATTCTATAGAAACCAATAGTTCAAATACTCTCAATATCATTTTAACCAATCATTCAATATCTTCATGTTCCAAGCACCGATATAGAAACTGCACTATAAGGGAAATGATGAGTAAGATTTACTTTTACAAGAAAGCAATTAATAGAATGACTAATGGCTTTTCATCAACAAAACAACAGTACGAAGATACTTTTTATTGTCCGAGAAGTAATAGTAAATATAAATTTGACAAGAAACAAACGAGTTTTCTTGAATATGTGTTAGAAAACTTTTTAAATAAACAAAATGAAGTAAGTGATTGTAATCTCAACTAGATTCCATTTCAAACTTCACTGCAACATACATATCAACAAATGAACCGCGAAGTCAGATTAATTGAATAGTGTGTTGAATGTTACATACCAGGATGTTTTCAATGATGATGTTTTAATTGAGTTTCGGTTAAGTTTTATAAAATGCTTTGAAAAAACTCATGAAAGAACATCCCTTGTCGTTCCATATCTTGTTACTGACAGAAAATGATGCTCAAAGTAATCTTAATATCATGAGCTTTCTATCAGAAATATTGATAAAAGACTCTTCATCTAAGACTCTTTATTATATATGTATTTCTTTATTCATATAAATTTAAAGTTATCACGACCACTACACATACACTCGTTATCCTAACACGAGCAGATGATCCAATTGTTGGTATTTGTCATACAATAGCTGGTGAATCCATCTGTGGATCTGGTGTGAATTATCCATCTACTGAAATTCCATCGGATGCCATTGACGGTTCATTAACTACAAAATATCTCAATTTTGGAGATTCACTATTCGATGTTCTGATTCAAGTTCTTCCGGAATAAATACTGGATTTTATGCTACACCTACTATAAGTAGTGCATCTATTGCTGTTGGCTTTCTTTTTGCGACCCCAAATGCTGATGCTAATCGTGATCCAAGAACAGTAATTCTTGAAGGAACAACTGCAACAAGTACTGCAGATCTCCATTCTGGAACAAATTGGATATTGATTTATAGCGATTCAATAGATATTCGTGCATCGAGTACTCCTGGTCGTTTAACATATGTTTCTCAACAATATTTTTTCCAATACAATTGCCTTTAGAAGTTATCGACTTCTTGTTACTTCAAAATGTGGTACCGAGAATTTAGTTCAATATGCCGAAGCTCATATAATTGGATATATTTAAGACTTTTAAGTTTAAATATTTATATCAATTGTAAAAAGAAAAAAAAACTCTTCTTTATTTAAATGAGAAATAAATATAACAAGTTTTTTTTTGTTTTATGCAAAGTATTAAAAAAAAAAGCAACCAGTTCTAATTTACTTGGCTAAATTAAAAGAAAATCAGTCCTGTGTAATAAATCATTTTATTTGCCTGTTTTAATTTCCATACATTCATCTGGACGAAATCTCTTCTTAACACAAATATTCGGTGCACAACAAGGATTTATGCCGAATTTACATCGAACACAATTTTTGCCGAATTCACGAGTATCCAATGATCCTGTATCATCATTATCACTATCACCATTTAACATTGAACGAAGAAACATTCGAGCTTTCTTATCTGTTAATTCCATATCATTATCATTGTCATAAAATAAACGTTTAGCATCCGAAGTTGAAACGACGAAAAGTAATACACAAATAGCAAGATAAATAAATGTCTTCATAGTCGTTTTTTTTCCAATACGTGTATATCAAACTCAACAGAAGTATATGGTTTCAATAAATCTTACCTTGATGAACTGTAATTCAGCAGAAATTATTCGTCTTTTTATACTATCGTTTATTCTCTCATGGCACTTAGTAAATATTTATCAGAGAAATATTTAGTGACATAACCCATTCATCAGATTGGTAGATTTTTTTATTCATCATTGCCATTATTCATACATAAGTAAATATTAATAAGAGAGTAAGTGTAATGTAGAAAAAAAAAGCTTGTTAGCTCAGCCCCAAAGGGGCTGAAATGTGGAACTCACGTATATTCTTCAGATTCGCTATACTAATATGAAATATAGATAGTATAAAATCACGGATTTTTTTAAATTTCTGACAAGCATCGTTATTTTCCATTTTCTTTGTTGCTATGCGCTCAGTATTTTTCATTTTTAATACTCCTTTTTTCTTTAATTTTACATTTTTATCATAAGAAGCATTGAATTATATGGTGAGCTAAACTGTTAAATATATATATGTATGTGTATATCCATTATTTTAAACCTGGTCGCTAAGGTCTGTAATGAAGAGTATGTCTATCATGTTCTCTTCCGTTGCTATGGTCTGTAATGGGGGCCTGTCTGTAAGAGGAGGAGAAGGGAAGCCGCGAAACCTTGACCTTAAAACTGACACTCACTATTTTCTTCGAAAATATACGTGAGTTCCACAAAATAGTGTCGCAATAAACTAAATCAATAAAAATAGTTATCAGAAAAAGCACATATGTCTTAAAAATGAAGACTAGCAAGGGTATAAATCTTGCTTTACACAAGAAAAAAATGTTTATTATTTATGAAGGCTCAAATTACTATTAATACAGTAACTAAACACTAGTTTTCAAGATGATTAGATTATTTATTTGATATCAACGCATGAAAAAAAAGAAACTTGCATAAATCTGCGCTTGAACACCTTTTGGTTTTCACCAAAAACTCAAATAAACCATTGAAGAAGACGATCTTTATGATAAATTTTACCAGTAGATGAACGTATTTTCCTCTATAAAAATCTTTTTCTATTCGTTTATCTGTATTAATTATTTTATCCTATTTACATCGTTCTATTGTACGTTTCACAATTATTTCTTTTTGTCGAAAATGTTAAAGATTTCAGGAAAAAGATATCTCAGTTAGTGTAGTAAAAGCAGAAGAATAATCGATATACAATTGCTTTTTCTGTTTGATCTATACTTAAAATTTTTGTTAGACTGTACTAAAGCACTTGAGAATATCAAATTAAGTTCAATAGTTGTTATGTTGACTATGAAACATTTATGTCGAAATCTACAGAATTTTCAGCAACAAGGTCACTCAAGCGAACTTTTAAAAGCATACAATCGGTGAGATGAACGCTCGAAAATTTGAAATATATATTTTTTTTTGTTTGTTTTGTTCTGATTTCGAGCTCCTCGGCAGCCATCAGATTCCGTTCACTATAAAACTGTATCCTATCAAACATTCATTTTCTATTCTTCAACCACTTTTAGAACCCTGAATATTAAGCAAAGATTCAAGTACTCGAGAAAAGAAACAACGCAAGCATAATGTTGAATGCTTCAGTAAAACCAAGTCAAGCAGAATAATAGTTTCAAATGGTATGATTAATTTTGATTTCATGAAACTTCTTCAAAAAGTGGTTTACAAATGTCTCTTTTATTCAGCTACTTTAGTAGGATGATTTATGTTCGACATATATTTTCCTTAATTTCATAGTATTCTAAGAAATAGTTTACATTAACTAATGAAAAATAACAAGTAAGACAGGAATTTATAAGCGTTTTTGACGAAAAAAAAACAACCATAAAGAACTTTGTGTTTTGAATATTCGAAAAGTTTTTTTTAATACTGATTTTATATTTTATCACATAAATCAATCATTTATTAAATGAGCTCCTTACATGGCATTTGAGAAGGTGTGGGTGTGAACAGCGTGGAGTGTGAATGAACGGAAGATTCACACCCAAACCCCACATCCATACCAACACCCACCACATTCTTGCCTTCCCAAAATATTTTATTCGAACTTCTTACGAAAGCTCGATGTATAAAAGAAAACAATTTTGAACTAACTTTGAAGATAAAATGGATGAACAATCGATTCTGTCATGAGTAGAACTAAAGACAGGTGTGATAACTTCCGAGGGGATACTTGCCAACGATATCAATTCTTCATAGACACATGTTTAAATGTTTCTTTTTACTTAGTTATAACCGCCATATATGTGCCAAAAAAATAAGCATGGGTTTTGGATAAGCTTCTTCCTTTATTGCGGAAATTGGATTTCTTTCGATATTAGCAACAAAGTCATCCAAAAAGCGCGAAAATTATGCTCATATTTATCGATTTTTCTTATCATTGCTTAATTTAAGAGCAAAACAAATAGCATATGCAAAATCAGTGCAATAAACTACATTGCAACAGACATATTTTGACCAAATAATTTTTTTAAGCAGCACTCGCCTGTGGTTTCCCTCAGCAGTTTTTTTTCCAAAACTTTCCACGTGGGTCTTCTGAGGTCAGTTTTGCTTAAAAAATTTGTTTGGTCAAAATATGTCTGTTTCAATGTAGTTTATTGCACTGATTCTGAATATGCTATTGGTTTTGCTCTCAAATTGAGCAATGATAAAAGAACGGATAACTATGAGCATAATTTTCACACTTTTTGGATGGCTTTGTCATTGATATCGAAAGAAATTCAATTTCCTCAAGAAAAGAAGGAGCTTATCCAAAACCTATGCTTATTTTTTTGGCTCATGCATGGCGATTATAACTTAGTAAAAAGAATCATTTAAACATGTGTCTATGAAGAGTTGATGTCCTTGACAGGTTCCCCTCAAAAGTTATCACACCTATCTTTAGTCCTATTCATGCTTGGGCTGATCGTTAGCCTGTTTTACCTTCTTGTCCCCATTAAATTGTTATTTTCTACATTGAGTCTTTTCAGAAACTTGGAATAAAATATTTTGGGAAAATAAAATTAATGATACATATAAGAAAATGACAATATTCCAGCCATGTTTTCAAAAATAACATAGTTTTAAGACCATTTCAGAAAAGTGGTATTTTAGAATTGTTTTTATAAAAATCGATCTGAATATACTAAAAACAATATCTTTATAGACAACTCGACAAGCTATATTCAACGATGTCAAAATATTGGCAAATAAGAATTCTGCTCAAATTTCGACTTGCCAACACCCTGCTTCGAATTGTGTCGCCATCTATTCGGACCATTATATTAATTGAAGGTAACAACGTACTCTGTTGTCTGAAGATAATTCTTTAATTTCTTCTACCTTTTAAGCTTTAAACTGAAGACAATCGTCACTGATTTCCATTGTAATGTATTGTGCATCAAGTGTAAATTCACTTAATAATGGTATCTGATCATCCAATAGAAACGACAGTTATTGTTTACTGATATTTGCGTCATGTAGGGATGCAACAAATCCTCGAGAAGATTTGGATTTGGGACCAAATCCTTTGGATTTGCGTTTGGGTTTGGGTTTGAACGCTGAAATTGGATTTGGGTTTGTATTTGTATTTTAGATTTGGGTTTAGATTTGGGTTTGTATCCTGGATTTGGTCTAAGGTTTGGATTTGTATCTTTATTAGAGGTTCACTTTATTCGAAGCGACACACCACTCCCTCGCGAGCGTGAGGAGAAGGCAATATATAGGAGAGAATAACGCATCAAGGAATTCGACTCGAATAAGCACGTATCGCAAAGAACGAAGTGAGTCAAAATATGTAAACATATGACTGTAACAATCTTAGATTTGGATCGATGGTAGTGGTAGAACCAGGGGTGATCTAGAGAGAGCTGAGCTCCATCTATAAACATTTGAGCTTCTCCTAGAAATTTTTGAAAGTGTTGTAAATGTATAAGTGAGTTCCCCTAGGAGAGTCTTAAAAGAGTTTAAGCTCCTCTAGGCTTTTTTCTGGCTCCGCTACTAGTCTAAGGTTTGGATTTGAATTTCGATTTGTACAAATCTCACAAATGATTTAGAATATAACGGGTGTCCCAGAGATAATGAGTCTCTAAGTATTTTACCAATATCTCCGCCAACTTTCATCGGCTGGACTTGACTTTTTTTGCCAAAAAATTCCTCGCTGAATTCTTTACGAAACTGTGTAGAACGTTTTAATGTAGACACTACCCACGAAATATTTTGAAGTCAAGATTTTAAGGCACCAAAACGATGGATTCTGCACGATTTTTTTGTCGGTTTTCTTTGTCTCAGATGTTAAGCGTACGCTATATAAACAAATCTAATGAGCCATCTTTGAAGCTCTTGAGAAGCTCTTTTTTAGGTGCTATTTCATAATTTTGTCGACGCTTTGGCTCATTTACAGATAAATTTTTTCTTTTGCAGACATGTCAATGTTGTCGGCAGAACTTTTACGTCACTTCATAAAACTCGTCAAGATATATCCTAAAGTAATTTTTTATGAACAAATAGCGTTATTATTTTGGAGCTAAATAATTTGTCCATCGATCTATCCAGCTGTCTCATATGAATTTTATACTTTGAATGAAAGCATCAGCCGAGAGCACAAATTTGAGTGCCTCCACGTCATTCTGAAACAGATATTCTCATCTATCCATCAGATTTCAGTTTTAAACAACCTATTTGTAAATGTAACGAGAGAGAAGATACTTGGAAATATTGATAAACTGAAACGAGTGGGTCAAAATGTCAGTCAAATTAGAGAAAAAAGTTACCTAATTCTTACAAAAAAACATTGTTGCAAAATCTATCCCTTTAGTGTCTGAAAATCTTGAGTTGAAAATATTCTGCGGGCTGTTTCTATATTAAAACGTTCTATACAGTTTTGTAGAGGATTCAATGAGGAATTATTTGGCAAAAAAATCATGTCCAACCGATGAAAGTTGCTTGAGATATAGGCAAAATATTGAGAGGCTCATTAATTCTCGGCCACTCGTTACAAGAGACATACGTATCATTATTTGAGTAATTCATTTCTTGCAATAAAGTTACAGTAGAATAGCCCGTTTATAGTGATTGAAGTCTGTAGACATCTAAAAATTCCTTGAAATTCACATGTATTGATATCAACTATATTATAATAATAGGGGGTGGACTATAATAAAGCGGATTCTATGTTGTGAAGCTTTCATAATTCTAAGGAATATTTCAGTTCCTACTGAAAAAACAGGCATTTTTGTCTTTGCTTACATCTCGTATATCATACAACTCTGTGCAAATAATTTCAGCCCTATTTCTTTTATAACAATTCGATTTTTCAGAATAGCTTTGTAGTTTCTCTGAATGAACATTTCATTGAAATAATTTTATAATCTACACAAATCTAATGCTTGCTTTGATATCTATAGTTATTCATAAACATGAAAATTCCACAGGGAAAAACAGAAAATACTGTTGATGTGCTCTATAACACCAAATCCCAACGATTTGAGTCATCTAAGACCAAATCCAAACCAAATCCAAATATCTGTATCCAAATCCAAGTCCAAATCCAAGCATAGATGCCAAATCCAAATCCAAATCCAAACCAAATCCAAATCTGAACTCAAATCCAAACCAAATCCAAATCTGAACTCAAATCCAAATCTTTTATAACAAACCCCAAGGCTTTGGATTTGTTGCATCCCTAGCGTCATGCTTATATCAAACAAAGATTATTTGTTCGTAAAGAATGAATTTAATGTTTTCTTTTAAGAAAAGTCAAAGATCTTAGGGTTCATTTTTCTCATTGTATAAATAGAATGTGTCTACTTTGAGTGGTGTTTTTTAGTTAATATATCAGATGGCAAGTCCTGGTGAAACAATAATATTTCGCGATCGAGTTGATGCTGGTCGTCGATTAGCAGCTCACAGTGAATTACAAAGAGTGAAATCATTGTCACCAGATGAAAAAGATTCACATCTTGTTAATAGTTTACCACGTGGTGGTACAGTTGTCGGCGATGAAGTTGCTAAACTATTAGGAATAACTCATGATTTAGTATTTCCAAGAAAAATTCCATGTCCAGGAGAGTCAGAATTTGGCAATGTTTTTTGGAATGATTATGCCAAAAACATGGTCTTATTAATGATCCAAGTGTACAAGAGAGTAAAAACAAACAAATTGAAGAAGCTCGGCGACGAAAACAAGTTTATCGCGGAAAACGTCAACCACTGAATGACTTAAGTGGAAAAACAGTTATATTAGTTGATGACGGGTTAGCTACAGGTATTGTTTTAAATATACAGCAAACGATGTAGATTGCCGATAAACATTAGGTTTTTTTCTTCATTTTAATAGTACACTATTTCAAAAAGTTTTAGATAGAACTGAGGTACATGATATGTTCCAAAAACACATTGGAAAAAACCAGTATTTTGCTCATTTTTTATGCTGATAATAAACAGAACAATGGTTCTGGTACAGTATGTAACTTATAGTGTAATATATCTTGTTTTGTAAATAACATCTTTAAATTATTCGAATTTCGATGCATTTTCAAAGGTTCTCATCTAGACTTATAAAAATAGTACTTTCAAATGTTTGAGAAAATAGAAAACAGTTTTATTGGACAAGAGCAATTTTTTGATAATTTCAACACTCATAACAATATGAATATCAACAGACTTTGCAAATTTGATCTATGCAGTTTTTATAAATTAGGAAACAAATCATAACACCTGCTTGTTTTCTGTTCTTTTTTCTAAAGAGACTTTCTATTTAATAGCATTGAATAAAATATAACAGTTCTGTAGACAAAAGGAAAAAAAACAATGAACTACAGTATTGTCAAGAAAAACCTGAGGGTATATTGGTAATGGAAGCGATAGAAATAGCGAAAGACAGAATATATTTGATAACCGCTGTAAAAATCATCTGAGTCAAATAATAGTCGAGATTGTGTGAGCTGTCAATTTATTATCACAAACGATGTTCAGACACAATTTGGCAATATGACACATTTTTGTTCTTTCCTTTTTCTGATAACTCATTGATGCTCTTCATGATACCCGTTCGATTTAATTTTGTTCGTTCATCTCGTTCGTTGAACAAGATTAAATCAAATAGATTTCATGGAGAATATCAATGAATTATCAGAAAGAAGAAAAAAGCTGCGTCATATTGTGTCTGAACATGGTTTGTGATAATAAACTGAAAGCTCGTACAATCTCACTATCCCAGGTCGAAAAGTACCGGCCGGTTCCCGCAGGAAAACACCGGAAATAGCCGGAACATGGAAGCAGTATTCCGGCCGGAAATTTTCGGAATTTTTTCCGCTGATTTTCCGCTCGGTTCCTGCCGGAAAACACAGGAAATTGGCCGGAATTCACCGGAAAAAATCCGGAGAATTTCCGGCCGGACTACTGCTTCCATGTTCCGGCTATTTCCGGTGTTTTCCTGCAGGATACGGTGATTTTTCCCGCATTTTCCTGCCGGTTCCTGCAATATCCGGTGGCCGGAACGATCGACCTGGGATTATCTGACTGAGATTATTTTTATAGCATTATCAAATGTCTTCTCTCTTACAAATGTTTGAGTAGAATGATATCGCTAAAAAAATGATTTTCATGGCGTTTCAATAATTGGTCCTGTTTTTTTACTGTTGTTAGGTGCAACAATGAAATCAGCTATAAATACTTGTAAGCATTTGAACGCTAAATCGATAATTGTTGCTGTTCCATGTGGTCCTGCCGAGGGTGTCGAGGAAATTCGTCCATTAGTTAATAAAATAATATGTCTGACAACACCATATGATTATTATGCTGTTGGACAATGTTACAATACATTTCCACAAACAACTGATGGAGAAGTTATTGAAATCATGAAAAAATATCAAGATTTAACTCATACAAATACTCAACGAAGGTATGCATTAAACATCTGTAGAAGTAAATCGAAGTGATCATCAAGATGGAGACAAAAGAATTCTCCTCAAATAGGATAATCCTGAACATAACTTGATCTCACTCAACTGTCTTTGCTGTACGTTCCTGAATTGCCTCAATACTATTGTTATAGATACAAGCAGTACTCTCGAGAGAGCAGCTCGCAGCATTTTTTGATTTTCTAGAACATTTTTGACTTTATTTTGTTATTTTTTCACCATTGTTAAGAACATATCTGTATGTTTAGAAAAAAGTCACCGAGCTCTAAATGAAGAAAAGGCCTCTAAAAATTTTCCCTTTATTTTCCCTCGATCATAACTTACTTTTCAGATTTGGCAATATCTTTTACAAGGCTAGAAGTGATTCTAAGATTCAGCGCGAGTTTAAGAATAAATTCTGAAAACAATTAAGTACATATTAGACACAAAAAGTGTATTATTTTATGTTGAAGTTTTAGAGAACAAACTCTTTTTTTTTTATTACTTAAGTGTAAACAAGAACACAAACCCTTTTAGAGCTCTTTTATGATGATGAGTCCTATGGATGGCCATAATAGGAGCGAGAACGATATCAGACAACTATTGTCCGTTTCAAAATAAAAGACAGGTTGCCATTTTTTGAATAAACTTCGCTGAGTGAAAAATATAGGCCTGTAACTTTCATCATTCGAAAGAGCGATGTTCAGGTCATCGATTCGTATAATATTCATTAGGATGAAAGGTGTTTTATTTCATACGAGCCTTTCGATTGACATCCTTTTTCTTGTGTATTTTCATAAATTTTCACAATAATCTCTACTGATATTACGCCAAAATGTAGTTCAAATCATCCTTTTTTTGCTATAAAATTACCACATTTTTCATTATCTCGTCGACCTCTTTTTTTAAGCGAACTTTCAAAAATACTGATAATTTTATAGCGAAAAATAAGGGTGATTTGAGCGACATTTTGGCGTAATTTGGGCAGAGATTATTATGAAAATTTATGAAAGTACGTGAGGAAAAGAATGTCAATGGAGAAAGGCTCCTATAAAAAAAAGGCATATTTCATCCTAATGAATATTATGCGAACCGATGACTTGAACATTGCTTTATCGAATGGTGAAAACCGCAGATCTATATCTACTACCCAGAGAAAATTATTCAAAAAATGGCAACCTGCCTTTTACTTTGAAACAGACAATAGGAGTGTTTTCTCGTAAGGTAGAACTGAGGAGCTTGACGAACACTACATTTAGAGGTCACAGCAACAGTTTGATATTCGCTCGTTTCGTAATGTGTTCAACTGATTCTGTGTTCTTAGTACAATAGTTCGTTAAGTTTATCCATTTTATTTTTTACGTTCTTGACGTTCAATTTAGATAAAAATGTGGTCGAAAAAAGTTTTCGTCAATAGTCTTGCTTCAAAAGAACGAGAGCAGCTGAAGTTTTTATGAAATAAATCAGAATTGAAAACTGAGCAAAATGGGTTATTTCGATTTGTGTTCCTCGAGAGAGGACACTAAGTGTTTATTAGATCTTTTGAAAACCTTTTCAATTGTTGAAATTTCAGATAATTCCTGCGAATATTCTCAGTTTCTTTTCATCCTGAGAATTGAAATATAAACTCTAGAAAATGTTCTTTTTTTCGATTGTTTAGTTAATTGTTGGTGGTATTAATACAGATGTAATCGCAATGAGCAAAGAAGTTTATTCACAAATGATACAGTTGAATGACGATGGAAAAAAGTATCGAAACTAGCAACACAATGGATTCAAGAAAATTTCCAAAAACCTTAGATTTAGATTCAGCGTTATGGACGACTTTTAAATGGAACATTTCATCATTATTCTAGCTCCTTTGAATCACATTTTTATTTATTTAGTACTGATAATGTTGGAGTGTTTATCCGTGTACAGTTATTTTTTCGTCCACTATATAAGAATAAAATATCCTTTTTCCTAATCTTTCATCACTTGCTTTCTTCATAGCTGTCTGAAAACTTATCCTTTTCGTTTGCATTTAGTGTTTTTTATCGATATGAAGACGGATTGGACGGATGTTGAATCCAAACGAAAAAAAAAATTTGAAAAAGGCTAAAATCGATACGAAACGTCACTTGTCATGAATTGGATCCATATCCAACTATCGAGAAAAACGCGGACACTTTGTCCATGGATTAATCTTGTTGATAGGTAAGGTTCTGAAGGACAGACATCGTCATCATTGTTCTTTCCCTTTTTCTTATCATCGTCTTCTTTCTGTCATCATTCAAACCTTGAACACGTACTCTCTTTCTTCAACCTCAAAAGACTGGTCTTTGTCCATTGTTTTCGTCGCAGATGCATGACACTTTCAGCACAGTCCAGTAATATACGGTTCGACAAGATCATATCGATTGTGTATAAACGTGAGAAGCCACCAAGGAACTAGCATTGAGGCTATCGATGCACAACCAGATATAATATGTCAAATGGGATGATAATAGAACTACCTCTCTCAGCATTATAGTTATCCTTCTATAATGATAGGAGATGAGCGGATAAAATCCAAATGCACAATATCTTCGAGAAGTCAAGTATTCTCCTATTCATTCTACAAGTATACATATAATCCAAGTGTGTTCATAGACACTGATATTTTTATGCGCTTGAAATATATTCTTTGAAGCAGGATTACGTTTCTTCTGATAAAACGGTTAATAATTGTCTCTGATACAAATGGCACAAACTCGTTGGTGTTAGTATTGGAGATTGATACCAGTGGTGTGAGTGTGTGGGGTGCGGGTGTAGATAAAGAGATAGAGAAAAAGATAATCCACACCCACACCCACGCCCTAATCATTCATTTGGAGCTAATCATAAGAAGCTAGCATTGACGGGGTATGATGTATCACACACTAGTAATTAATGATATATGTGTCGCCAAGTACGTACATGTTCTTCATTTTATTTTCATCCAAAAACAGTGTATATTTTGTTTCTAATATACTTGATAAGATAGATTTTATTTGAATAAATGAAAAATAAAAAGAAGAATCTTAAAAAAATATATATCATCGGGTTATGCAAGAAAGTTTATACTATCAGATCATATTTGAATTAAGATCCTCGTGGTACAAGTGTTGTACTTGTAATAAATGATTTACTACGTGTCATACAATCTTTTGAATATGGTGTTTTATATATTTGTTCATCACGTAATATCATCATATCACTAAGAAAATTAAATTTATTATTTTACTCATTTCTTTTAAATTATCAAATAAACTTACTAAGGCATTTTTGCTTGATAAGTTCGATAAATTTCATCATGTTGATCAGATTTTGGTATAGTTACATAATCTAATGATGGTAAACTATTAACACTTCGAAGTGCATAAATTCCTGAATTTGAAGCTTGCTAAAAGAAAAATATTAAGAAATACATTTTGTAAAACATTATTTTTTTTTTTTTTAATTTTCATACTTCTTTAAAATGTTTAAAACCTTTATGCTCATAACATGAAGGATTTTCATTAGGAAAATATTTTGGTACAAATATATGTCGTTCACGTGTCGCTTCAAAATGAGGATAATATGAATAGTATCGTGGTAAACTAGTACCTATTTTAAAATAATTATATAACATTTCGAAAATATAAAAATTGAAAAAAACCTTTTTTTGCACTACGCAATGCTTGCATTGCATCAATACGATAACTTTGTGAATAAGCATATTTTGGATCATCGAGAAATTTTTGACTATCATAACGAATACGAGGTAAACGTCCTTCAACACTATGTTCATATTTAAAAAAAAACAAATATTAGAGCATGAAAAGGTTTCTTTATGTAAATATACCTATAATAACCATTACCAGGTAAAAGATAAGATCCTATTATAACATTAAAAGAAATAGATATATAAAATAAAGAAAATCACATCTATTGACTTACCATTAGGTAAACTACCAGGTAAAGTTGATACTGGATGATAATTTGCTTTACTATCGTAGACAGACATTTGTTCTTTTGAATTTCCTAAAAGTGAACGAATCGATTGAATCTTTTAATTCAATTTCTTTTATGTTAATAAAGTATTACAAAATAAAAATATTCTTGTTATTTGTTTTTAGAAAAATAAATTTTTAAATTAAAAAGAAACAATATATTTGTATAGTTCTTCTTGATTACAATCAGCCATGATTCCTATCATAGCAATTCAATTGTCTAGACAATTTATTCATTTCTATATATTAATTTTCATCTCCTAGTTAATGAAAAATAATGTAATTATAGTTCATTTTTAAGTTTTATGTACAAAAAAAAAAGTACAATCAATTATTCAGTATGTTTCATGCATTTACATAGATGTCAGTCGTAAACATTAACTATATGCAACAGTTCATTTTATCTATATTTAATTTATCAAAGATTGTTTATTATAAGATTTTCAATATTGATCGATTAACAGATGTGTTTATCCACTGTAGACAAGTATAACATCATCATATACCTTGTTTCATTCATTTCCAAGTAGAGAAACATCGAAACATTTTCTTTTATCTATTGCATTGGATCCTTCGTCATATTTGATAATCATCAGTGTAGAAACCACTGTATCTTATTAAAAAAGAAAAAGAAATCATACAAGCGCGTACACACACACACACACACTCAATAATCTATAGTTAAAAAAGAAAGAAGAAAATGAAAAATCAACATAGGATTGATTGCTAAAAAACAAAAAATTGAATAATGATCAAGATTTTTATTTGCCACATAGTGGTATTGAAGCCAAAACAAAATAACATCCCAAAATTTACATAAACTGTACAACGGAAAAGACATTTTAGACCGATGTTTCATAAATAGATGATCGATCCAAATGGAGCTAGAAAAAAAAATGATTATTTAGAAAAAAGAAATATTAAAATATATATAGTTACATACATTTTCCGATATCGGTCGTTTTTTTATCGTTCCATCGACTCGTTTGCTAGACGATGGAGTTGATGACCTAGAAAAAAAAAATATATATATAGATCATCTCTTGA